TGGTGATCAATACATTAACATCAAAGTGCAAGTTCCCAAGTAGGTTCTTGTCTTGTTCGTANAGGACTGGTTAGTGCTGACATTGAATCGTAATCATCCTTTTACAAGTATGAATTAGAGCGGAATTTAAAATTTTGATATGGTAACATTAAACTTTTTGGTAAGTTTAAGAAATATTGTGATATGTGAGCAGTGGTCATGAGAAATTGAATGGAAGGTTGTTTTGATACGACGTTGGTTTTAGACGGTCGTTTTCATAACGTTCAAAGTGGCACCATCGCATCGATTCAGACGTGAGAGATACGATATTTATTGTGATGTGGAAATTTCTGTGGCTCAGGCAATACTTGGAGGTACCGTTAAGGTAAATTTCACGTTATTTTTTGTTTTCTTGTGAGGTGATGAGCGAAATGTTTCTGTTCTTCATGCACAGTTCATAATATTAGAAAATCACATTTGGAATTATTGATCGAAATCCAAACCGGTATTAGAGTTTTTCATGCATTGCGAGAATAAAATTGAACATTGGGTAAAGTGGTAATGTTTGTGTTCAAGGTGCCGGGTATCGAACAAGACACCTATATTCAAATTCCACCAGGCACTGACTCACATACTCGAATGCGGCTAACTGGTAAAGGTATAAAAAAGCTCGATTATGCGGGTCATGGTGATCAATACATTAACATCAAAGTGCAAGTTCCCAAGTAGGTTCTCGTTTCGCTCGTAAACATTTTAATTTTTTAGGTTGCGTTCCTAACATCTTAGTTTTAATTGCCTTAATTTATTTGAAAAGCAATTACCTTGATTTTGTGGTGAATATTTGTTCATTGTTGTCGAATAGTTATTTGTTGAGTTGGACTGGTGACTAGGTACGATTTTTCTTGAATTCACAGGAAATTTGTGAAATTTTAATGGTGAGTTCATCCTTATTGGAATGTGATGTTGCAGACGTTTGAACGAAAAACAAAAAGCGTTGATGTTAGCATGGGCAGAACTGGAACCTACGCTCAATGGTACTGTGAATGAAGTTAAAGCCACTGTTGACGGTTTGTTCTTCTCAATCGTTCTGCTCTGATAGTGTTTGTGGGTAGACTTAGTCAGTGTTTCGTCGATGTTGCTTCACTAGATAAAGTGTGTATCAGTTGCACGTTGTGCAGGCATTTGCTAAGCAATCTGTGAAATTTATATGTTTCCATTGAACAACCGATTAAGAAGAACAAAGACGAAGAACATCCTTCACCGCTGGCTGAGGCATGTTTGAAGAAGCAGTAACTGAGTACCAAAACCAATAGTATACCGCGCGTATCACCGGAGGGTTTTCTGTGCATTTTGGATGAA